ATAGTTGATAGATAATTGCAACCATCTACTGAGATTACGTATGTGATAGGCAGAGAGAAAGGGATCAGGTTCTGAACAGAAAAGTATGGGATTTTGATTCAACCAAACCTGAACAATAAAACTCTTTACTCTGCTAAGTAAGACAATCTCGGTGCAATCTTGTGGCCATGCTAGTCTATTGTTGTTCCTAAAGGTCTATGCCTTATTATATCCCGTTAGAGTATATAGCATTCACAATCCCTCTAAGTGAAACCTTCCAAAAATTATAATGACGTCGTTGATAAGATCTTTTACCCCTTAATCCATTAATTCTATGAACTAAATGGGGAATCTGTAGAAATGTAAGGAATCGAAATACCTACTAAGAAATTAAATCTTTGAAGAAGAGAAATTTATTACCTTGATATCCCATAAGCTTTACTCAAGAGGGGACTTCCTGTAAGCTTTACCCTAGATGGGGAAGGTGAATAAGGGAGTGTTTGGATCTGATTCTTAAAACTGCTTCTGCTCCTTCAGGGAGCAGAAGAAGAAATTGGAGTGTGTGAGTGAAAGTGCAGAAGTGGTCATGGTGCTGTAATTTACTCCTAGAATCAGTTTTTTTAGAAGCTGAGGATGACCAGCTTCTGAAAACTGATTCTGATTCTGCTTCTGCTTTAAAAAAGAAGCAGAAGTATAATCAGTTCCAAACACCCCCTGAATGCAATGCGGTGAATGAATATTTTGGCGAACAACTATTTTTATCACGTGAGAAATTCATAGATATTTTCTACCTAATGTGTGCTGAGTCATCATGTGAAGGGAACTCTTGTGCGAAGACGGTGGTGTCTAAAGTGTCTAGATTAATTTTTAACAGCTCAACATTATATGAAGGTAAACTCAGGGCGTTGGAAACGAAATTTTTTCCGTAATGTTAAACTATATGACGTAGCAAATGTTTTTAATGTGCACAATGTCCGATTGAAGATTCTCTAATAGCATCTTTTATGGAAACATGAATTGCTTAAAATTGCATTGCCACATCAGATATATATACATTAAAGTGAAATTAGATGCTTTGATGACAATGTTCATATGAAGCGTGTTGTTGAGTTGGAATGTAATATATCACACAATATATATTGCTCTTTCGACTTTCAGAAGATCCTCTAGCAGGCTGACTCATCATTTTTTTAACTGAGGTTGAGTGTAATAATTAAAGGGAGTTAGAAACTACTGCTCATCACCATTGATGATAAGGTGTTTGGTTATTGGCTATCAGCCATTTTTTGGCTGATTTGACCACTCTTTGGCCTTTTGACTAGATAGTCAGCTGATAGAGGTGTTTGGTTAATTGTCTTTTTCATTTGGCTTTTTGTCCCAAACAGCCAAAATTGAAAATGCTGATAAAAGTGGCGTTTAGGTTCGGCTGTTTCTTACTCCCCCTTACTACCCACACAACCCATGCCCCCTACTTTCTGTAGCTACCTCCTCCTAGCCTCCTTACACATCAAAGAGAAAAACCACTCTTACTATATTCAACTTTCTACATAAGAGAAAAAGAACACCGCAGGAAGCAAACATGCATTTAATAAAATTAAATATTCTTTTCAATCTTTTTTTAAAGTCACGAAGAAGGTTCAAGTTTTGTGCATTGTATATTAAATATATACTACTCCATATGTACCTTTTTATCTCAAAATAATAACATCAATAATAATAATAATAATAACAACAATAATAATAGTAATAATAATAGTAGTAGTAGTAACAACAACAACATTATTATTATTATTATTGAAGCTAAAAATTATTTGATGTCCTTGATAGTCATTTAACAAGTTATCAGCTGATTGTAAACGGTCATTTAACCAAACACAATTTTACAAACCGCTAATATTATCAGTCAATTAAAACAACTAACAAAATACGCTATTATGAATCAGCCAACACAATCAGCTAACAGCCAACATCCGATTGCCACGCACCCCCGATATGTTTGCAGTTTTGCATCATTCGATTTATCAATTGCATACCATACTCCAACAATTAAACATATTCAACAACAATCCATTTGTGGTTGTTTATAAAACATTAAATTAAAACCGAGCAGTGCACTATATATAGAGAGAGAGTCATGTTTGAGTTAGGAGCTCCTGACCGGAATCATCGTGTGGAATTTACTGTTTGGGATGGTTCGCGATGGATAATGTTTTGATGAAAGTTTTTGAGCATGTTCTTTAACAAATATAGTTTATACTCACCAAATTTTAGCTTAAAATTCAATTAAAAAAATAATTAGATAAATTATTAAAGCATATTCGGTCTATGGCTGCGTTTGTATATCAGCGGATCCGCCAAAATTTAGAGGGTTTGACTGTGTTGGAGTTTTGGATGGGTCAAACAGCTGAAATTTCACGTTTGGTAAACAGAGGGTGAGGATAGCGATTCCTATGAATCCGCCGAAAACCAAAACACTAGAAATCAAAGCGTTTAGGTCTCGGCGGTTTGGAATAATTACTAAATTCACTAGTTTGCCCTCCCATCTTTTTGGTTTCGCCGATTGAAGCATACGTCCGGACTGCGCTTTGTTCACAGAGTTATTTCTTCCACTGATTCCTTCTTACTGATACGTTCGGACTTCGTTTGCCCTCCCATCGTTCAGTGCTTTCTCCTCTTCAAAGGTATGTATTAATCATCTTCTCTAGAACAGTCCGTTGGGATCTTGTTTTGATTTCTATGGGTATTGCTATTTGTAAATTCATAGATATGTAACTCTTGGTAGTCTGCCACGTTTGTGTTGCCCTGCATTTTTGTAGGATTGTGATCATCATATAAACTGATTTGTGTTTATAGTCTCATATATGGGTCTGCTACGTTGTTAGTTTGTGGGTCTTCATAATCCTATGTTGTCCATATTATATCCCTTGTTAATTGTTTATGAATTATATTTCTTTTTCATTCAAATGCTTATATGTTTATGGCCAATTGATATTGGTTCTCTAAAACATACGGAGTATGTTTGAAAGGTCTGATAGTATATACCAGCTTTGCTGAAATTTCTGATGCAAGGTCTGATAGTATATACCAAACTCACTTGTTGGTCTTAATATGTGTTTAGAGGTCTAACTCTCTGTTAGTTAAACTCATTTGTTTGAACATTCTGTTTTTAAGTCATTTATTTTGTTTACTCCCCAAGTGGGTTAGAATTGATATATTTTCTATACCAGCTTTCTAAACCAAAGCTTATTAACGAATTAAAGTACACTACAAACGTTTTGGAAAAAAAACATTGTGATGATTAAATTCCTAGGAAAACCAAGTCATCCAAAAGTGGATAAATTTTAGTCCATAAACTTAGAGAGGATTTTGTAATACATCTATTAAAAGTTATATACGTAGCATTTATACCTTTTATTGTAATCCATTATACAAGTAGTGGTTTTACAACGAGTATACATGCTTCATAACGCAGTAGTCTATGTGAACACCATCCTTTTTTTTACCAATGAGAACACAGTCCTAAACAAACTATGGTTTTAAGCAATTACTTGAGCTTCACTAGGATGAATATGTTTAACAATTTTAGAAAGGCAGTTACAAATAGAAACGCATAAGTGTTTCTATTTGTTAAAGCATGAATAATGTGATAAGCACTTGGAAAAATTACAAGAGAGGCTCTATGTTGTTTGATAGTGATGATTCATATAGATGTTGTTGATATTGTATATCTGCTTATGAGAAACAACTCCTTTCTGTTTTTATGATGCTATCTGTTGTACTATTTTAAGTGATATAAAGAAAATGTGTCAAATGTATCATGTTATGATCTGCTACATCCTATGTGCAAATTGTCTAGTGTATGCAAATTGTCTAGTATAACTTTCCCATTTCGTAGTAATTGTGTAGAAGGATTGGATGCACATAGAGATTTAAGCACACTAAAAAAAGTCTTTACCATTTTTTAATCTATAGATGACCCTAACACAGAAGAAATTTGTAGAAGGAAGTTGAGGAACTCAAATGGAGAAGGATGAAAGTCATGGGGGAGGGTTAATTGGTCTAAAGAATTACCTCATTTGTTTTGTGATCTTTGTATCCAATACGTAGACATAAGTAAGGGAAAAAACGGTGGAATTGTATCACAAAGGTTGATGTGGAAGAAAATTGAGACAGAGTTTAAGAGAAAATCTAACTTACCATGGGATAAAATACTGATGATTGGTGGACATTAAGAATTGAGCTTAGTGTCATTTTATTTTAATTTATATTTTGTTAGTTTATTTAGTTCGTATACTTAAACCGAGGTGATTTAAAATTTTGTGTATTTTTATTATAGGAAAATCCAAGCCTTAATTTTCCAAAGCCACCGAGGTTAGTGTATTTTTTAGTTATTATATTTCTAGACACACTGAATAATCCAAGTCTTAATTTTCCAAAGCCACCGACGGGTACATAATTCTAAAAATTATTTTTTCTTACATACCATACACACATAATTTACAATTTTAATTTTAATTGTACTTGTTGATTTTATTACTTTAGGAAAGTATTACTTGGTTGACAAAGGCTATCCATAAAGATATGGATACTTGACTCCGCACCCTAAGACACGATACCATCAATTAGAGTTTCGTGGATCAAGACCAAGAGGTTCACGAGAAGTATTTAATCGAGCACATTCATCCTTAAGAAGTTGTATCGAGAGAGCGTTTGGTGTTCTTAAGGCTCGCTGGAAGATATTACAAAAATGCCAAATTATTCATTGGTGGATCAAAACAGAATTATATGTTCATGTTTTGCATTACACAACTACATAAGAAAAGGCAAACTTGACCCGACTTCTGATTTCATTGATGAAGATCCTGAATTTATACCCGCTGACGTTATTCCAGAGAGAGCGCAAATTATACCCTACGACCGGTCTACCATCCGCATGGTATACCGGTCGTAAACGGCGTCGTTTTGGTTATTAAAAAATTAGATCAGCTCTTTTCATTAATCGAACCTGCAGCTCATGATGACTGATTTCTCTCCGCTCTGCGATCCCTTCGATTCGTTTCTAAGGTTCTTAGATGGATTTTTCTGTCGACGATTCTGCTCTTTTTGCTTCTCATACACACGATAACATTAATCATTCAATTAATGATAATGATTTCGAAGTTGATCAGCTGGTTGATGTTGAATTGATTGGTAAGTATACATTTTTCGTGCTTTATGAATTGATCAGCTGGTTTATGTTTTATGAATTTTTCATGTTTTTCGAAGTTGATCATGTTCTCTGTTTTATACCATTGCTTGAGAATTTCGATTGTATGAGTATTCATAGTTTTGATTTTATGTTCAGGAGAAGAAGATACTATTTCAAAAGCTTCTAAATTGTTATATCTTCTTAGCAGAGGTATTTATTCTGTCATGTAACTTCATTTCATTTTGGTTGTAATTCCGTTCGATGGTATTTAACTCGCGTCTCAAATGTGTGTAACTTGTGTTCTCTGATATGTAACTGTTGTTTAATTTAATGTAACATTGTGACAGTATGTAGTTGTTGATTGTTTTTCATATATATGCTTTATAAATTGGCAGATTCATTGGAAAATGTTCACCAGTCAACTGAGAGTAAATCACTTGTTGGGCTTAGTGTCAATTGTGAACAGGATGCTTACAAACTTTACAATGATCATGCTTTTGAAAATGGATTTGGTATTCGTAGATGCAAACAGAGGTTTAGGAGTGGGAATGTAAGTTTGACTATGAAGTCTTATTGTTGTTGGAAAGAAGGGAAGAAACTACAAAAGGGCACCGAAAACAAAATGTATACCAAGTTAGATTATCGTACTGGTTGTAAAGCGATGTTACAGTTTTCTATTAGTTGTGATGGTGAATGGACTGTCTCAAAGCATATTATTGATCACAACCATGCTTTCTGTGCAATTGGTCAAAGACACCTGCTGAAATCACATAGAGGCGTTGATCGTGAGTATCTTGAATTTATTATGTTGATGAAGGAGAGTGGAACAAAGGTTTCAGATGTTCACAGGATGCTTCAAAAACAGGCTGGTGGTGTTAGTGCTCTTGGATTCACGAAACGTGATGCTTATAACGTTCTAGAATCTGAAAGAAGTAAAACGTTTGATGGTACTGATTCGAACACTTTGATTGGTATATTTAAGAAAAGGGCTGAAGTGGAATGTGATTTTTTCTTTGATTTTGAGTTGGTTGATGGTATACTGACTTGTTTTTTCTGGAGAGATGGTCAAATGAGATCTGATTATGAGAGGTTTGGAGATCTTGTTGTGCATGATACAACTTACAGGACTAACAAGTATGATATGATCTGTGGTCCATTTATTGGTATGAATCACCACTGTAAAAATATAATGTTTGGTTGTGGCTTTATTCTAAATGAAAGGGTGGAGTCTTTTGTTTGGTTATTTCAGACTTTTCTGAAATCTATGGGTGGTAAACACCCCATCAGTTTCATGACAGACCAGTCATTTTCCATTGCAACGGCTATCAAATCTGTATTTCCTGGGGCGAGACATAGACTCTGCACTTGGCATATAGATGAGAATTCAAAGAAACACATCATGCATCTACGCAAGAAGATAAATTTTGTTTCTCTTTTTGATTATGTTGTCAAACGATGTGATACTGTTGCAGAGTTTGATTTCTATTGGAATGAGTAAGTTATTGTTATCTGATGTAACTTCGTGATTATTTTATGTAACTTTTTCAATCATTTGGTGTAACATATATATCTTCACATGTAATCTTGTCTTCTTTTCAAATCTGTTTCAGATTGAATACAATTTATGAATGCAGTGACAACACATGGTTGAAGAGGCTGTACAGTCATAAAGAAAAGTGGTGTCCTGCTTTTTCGAAGGATTACTTCTCTGGTGGTGTTTTATCCTCTCAAAGAAGTGAATCTACAAATAGATCTATATCTAGAAGACTTACCAAGACTGCAACATTATGTGATTTTTACAAAATGTTTTGTGATGTTGTTGATGAATGGAGGTTAGATGAGAATGGTCATGATTTTAGATGTTCTGAAGGCACCGTTGAGATGGTATTGCTACAAGACACTTTGTTGACTCATGCGAGAGATGTGTATACCCTTGAGATTTTCAAAGTGTTCCAAGAACAATATTTGAAGGGTATGTCACATTTTTTTAAATTAATCTCACAGAATTGTCATGACTATGTGTATCATGTTTGGTTGAATGGGGTAGATATGATTAGACACAGTGTTACTTTTAATCGGCATGACAACACAGTGACATGCACTTGTAAGATGTTTTCTGAAGTTGGCATTTTTTGTGGACACATTTTGCGTATATATAATGTGCATTGTGTCAAATGTATTCCCCAAGTTTATATACTCTCTAGATGGACAAAGGCTGCCATTCTGCCAAATGTTAATCTTTCTGTTACGCACGGAACCGATATTATGTCTGGCAAAATATTGGAAGATTCTGTTTGGAGAGTGCAAATGACTAGGAAATTCAACTCAGTATTGAGTGCAAGTGCTGCTTTTCCTGAAGCTAGACGAGTATGTGATCAAGGATACGAGTCTATTAAACATTTTTTAGATGCACAAAGAGATGCTTCTGTTGTGGATGAATCTGCTTCTAGGACAATATTGGATCCTCCACGGTCTCGTTCTAAAGGTCAGCGAAATACCCGAAAGAGAAGTATTGTTGAGAAACAGTGCAAAATAGTCAAAGCTCGCCGTTCAAAATCCCAAAATGTTGCCTCCAATTCAAAAGCAGTTGCTCAATCTGTTGTACAGGTATTTGTTTATTTTTTTTTATGTATTTTATGCATATTTTCTTATCATTAATTTTTGTTTTGTTTGATTGTAGGACACTGTTAATTTCATGGTTCCACAAGGTTATGTACTTGCTCATCCAATTGGAGGAATGACGTCTTTAATGCATGTGTCTGGATCTCCACAAGTTTTTGCTCCATACTTCATGCAATCCAATGCTTTGAACCAAATGCAGAATTAGTTATAGTCACACATGTTTGGAAAACCAAATGCTTTGAGGAGTTTACATATCATATTGTGAACTTTTACTTTTGTTGCACCTTGAGTTATATTTTATTTTATAGAATTTATATTGTCTTTACAGTTTGTTTACATGTCTTACAGCATTGCCATAAATACAATACGCAATCAAGTTTGTTTACATTTATTTATATTACAGAATGTAATCTGTGCAGTCACAGCTCAGTAATAGTAGTTACATTGTTTTTCCCTTCAGTTACATAGTTCTTTAACGTGACTTACATTTGTTGTACTCGTTGTTTACATCAGATGTGTATTACTTGATTAGCTAATGCAAGTGTACATAAGTTATATAAAGTGAGAAGAACGCTTTAGGTGAGAAGTGAGAATGAATCTCAGCCGTTGGATTCGACATAAAACATATAAAACAAACTATTTTACATCAACTTATCATAATCCAACATATAAGTTTTCCACATACTAAACAGATAACTTTTGAGGTGCATTACAAGCTACTGCATAAAACCAAGAAATGTCTAAAACCCATACCACTGCATTACAAGCTACTGCATACAAACAGATAACTACAGCATAACGCATACCACCACACCCTCCATAAAACCATGAAATGTTTTGACTGTAACCCCATCATATTAATTAATTACATCTTCAAGTAGTCTTTTGCTTTTTTCAATATGTTTTCCCTTTCTTTGTTAAATTTTGACAGTAAAACTTGAGCTGCATACATCACTCTCATCTTTTGGATTGTTTCACTTTGAGCTTTTATTCCATCATTTGTGGCAGCAGTTGCAAATCCAGAATCCCATACATGTCCTTGCCCACGAAACGTCTCCAAGTGACGCAAAGTATATACTCCACAGTCAACGTGATTGCTATTATGTCTCCATGGCATGTATAAGATTCTGGGGACCCAACTTGTTGTGCTTGAAATCTGCACTTTCTCACAGAAGGCTTTGAATCCTTCATGCTATACAAGAAGTAACATTAATGAATTAAAATAATATGGAATAATATGATTTCTTATTTCCAAAAACATTGTATTGAATTTTTACCATTTTTTTCAAAGTTTTGCCATATTTGTCCTCAACGCTCACCCCATCTGGAAGCATCCGGTTGTCAATTACATCAACAATGTTGTTTGTTGTGTAAAAGCAGTAGATATAATAGTGCTCATGATTGTGAATGGGAAACAGTATCTGCATTATTATAAATTTATCTTCAGTTACATAAAATAATACAGAATCTACATAATTCATATCAGAACTTACATCACTCAGCTCTGTAGTTACATACTACGGTATTATTTTTCACCCTTTGTTTTAAAAACATTTTTAACAATATATCTTATACACCGACTTACATAAAACAATAGAGTTTACATAATTCATATAAGAACTTACATTAGTCAAACGCTGCAGTTACATATTATGCTAAACATTTTCTATTACTAATATTGTTTCACACTGATTTACATTTAAGAATATATATATAAGGATTACCAAATTTGACTTGTGTTTTTACACTTGAATTATGTAAAATTAAATATTAATGACATTTTACCATATCTAATTTTGTGACATCTGCTGCAGCATCATTTATTTCTTTTTGCAATCTATCAACCATATTTTCTATTGGGTCACCAGATGCAAAATCAAACATTGCCTGCACATTCAAATTGAGTCACTCTTAGGAAAATATAGAAACTGAAGTTCTCTACTTTATTTTACAATTTTACAAGAAAAAAATATACATACATATACTTGGGTTGACGCAATGAAGGCACGCTTTGTAGACTTATTTGATTCTTCTCTGTCATTCATAATCTTAGTGAATGCATCAATTATTGAGTTGTCTACATTTCCTTCTTGAAGTGTCTGAATTTCTTCATGAGTTATAAACACACCTTCCTCATCTATATAGACACAGTCTCTAACAGAATAATATTTTTCAAACAAATTGAAACAATTAATTATCAAATGGTGTTTATATTGAAATAATACATTATATAATATTAGTTTTTCTTACTTTTCAACTTCTTTTGAGAATCCCCAATCAAGAACAATCTTTTCATCTCTGCTAAATTCCTTGCATAGCCTTCTATTATTCTTCAGAAAAGGTGATATGTAATTGACAATTGAATCACCTAACTTTCGAAGCTTTCTCTTTCTGGTATATGGCTTTAGACCAACACTCCTTTGTAAAAAATAATATAATGTTAAGTTTATTTTATTAGTTAAAAGTATTGATGAATTACATAAGAAAAAAATAAAACTTACTCTGACTTATTATCAATTTCCTTGTTTACTTCTCCATCATCTCCAGTCACTTCTTCCTCAACAGCCATTTGAGCCACTTCAGCCACTTCAACATTACCATTCACTTCTCCATCAACAGAAACAGTTTCAGTCATTCCAGCAATGGTTTCAATCATCACATCTTCCACTCCATCAACAGTTTCAGTCATCACATCTTGTACATCAGGAGCAGTTTCAGTCTTCGCAGCTTCTACATCCACTTTTGATGTGCCTTCACCCTGTGACATGTTAAACTCAATTCCTATGTCAAATGAAGGCATTGAAAATTTCAGGAATGCTGCTTTCTCTAGTTTCTCAAGGGCTTCCATAACTCCAGGCTCATTAAAGAAGTCATCATCTTCCTCAAGGACACACTTCTCTGATAATCGTTGAGTTCCTTTTGCTTGATTTCCATTTGCTTGATTGATGAAGTAATCAGCTGTGGTCAAGTATATCTTCTTCAAGATATCAGAATTTGGGAACTTTTTTGCAATGGTTGACGGCAACTTTGAGAATTCCACAAAAGCATCACTAAACTTTTGTGCCACAGCTATAATCTCCTTCACACAATCCTATAAAAATTATAATAATAGTTGTTTAATAATACATAAGATACATAGTTATTGAATTAAGATTACAGGCTCCTTGGAAAAATCCTATAGTTATGTAACAATTGATTTAAGTTACATAAAATAGTCTTTAAGATCACAAAGTGTTGTATTAAAATTTACCTCCTTTGACAACATTTCAGCATCTTCATTTTCTTCATCTTCTTTTCCTGCTTCCTCTTCATCTTTGTCTTCCTCTTCGACTGTTATTATTCGCTTTGTCACCTTTCCCAGACCAAAGCCCACCTTTCTCTCATCTTTGACTCTTTTGTCAATTCTCTCCTTGTCCCAGATTCTAATGGTTGGATAAGCACTCTACATAATTTGGCCTTTGAATTGTACTCGGTCAAAGTAACATATCATTAGAAACAGTAATGGTCCACTGAACATCTTTGATTGATTAGTTTGCCATTCCTCGCCTGCATCCATCAACGATCTTATTGTGTAGTTGCACCAATTCATGTTTGGTATATCAGCTACATTAACCAAAGACATCAATATTTTAAAATTGCTGTTAACACTCTGGTTTCCTCTGATCAGGCAAGAGACTGTAAAGACCACAAAGTTTCTGATGAATCTGTCTCCAGAGTCAGTATCTGCAACTATTTTTTCAATCATTTTTTATGTTTGAGTGCTTCCTTTATCAATCCCCCATTCTTCTCTCCATTCTTTTAGCAGTTGGGTATACTCTTCAGTTTCATTCTTCGCATTCGCTTCTTGAACTTCTATCTTTCCCTTTGGCAGACCAAATACAGCTTTGACATCTTCATCTTCAATATCTAGCAGCTCACCATTGGCAAGTTGTAGCTGTCCTGAAATTGGTCTAAAGTTCTTCAACAAAAACGCAACCAAATCTCCACAGAATCTGTCAAAGTTTAAATGCAGTAATCCCCCAAATCCAATCCTTTCAACTGCTGCTTTTTTTCTTTCATCTAATTGGTTAATCAACTTTATGAAAGGGGCTGGTCCTACTCTTGTTCTTAGATTTACAGAAGGCGGCCTGTTGCTTGTCTCCACTTCTTCATATTCATCGTCTGATTCTTCAGATTCTGCTTTCTTCTTTTTTGGGGCTGCTTTTCTTTTTTTGCTTGTTGTTGGCTGATGATATTCTAGCCTTAGAATCGGTTCTTCTGTGTTCAGTATCCTTGCAGTTTCATTGTGATGTTCTGTATGCTGAGTTTCATTTTCAGGAGCTACATCACTTCTTGTTCTCCTTATATTGCACATGAGTTACATTTTTGTCACACACAATTGCCATAATAGTGAAATGAAGTTACATCATTCACAATCAGATGAACAATGTCATGTGGAGCACATGAGTTACATATTTTTACACACAATTTACATAACAGTGAAAAGAAGTTACATCATTCACAATCAGATGAACAATGTCATGTGGAGCACATGAGTTACATCTTTTTACACACAATTTACATAACAGTGAGAAGAAGTTACATCATTCACAATCAGATGAACAATGTCATGTGGAGCACATGAGTTACATCTTTTTACACACAATTTACATAAAATTGAAAAGAAGTTACATCATTCACAATCAGATGAACAATGTCATGTGGAGCACATGAGTTACATCTTGTCACACACAATTTACATAACAGTGAGAAGAAGTTACATCATTCACAATCAGATGAACAATGTCATGTGGAGCACATGAGTTACATCTTGTCACACACAATTTACATAACAGTGAGAAGAAGTTACATCATTCACAATCAGATGAACAATGTCACGTGGAGCACATGAGTTACATCTTTTTACACACAATTTACATAACATTGAAAAGAAGTTACATCATTCACAATCAGATGAACAATATCATGTGGAGCACATGAGTTACATCTTGTCACATACAATTTACATAACAGTGAGAAGAAGTTACATCATTCACAATCAGATGAACAATGTCATGTGGAGCACATGAGTTACATCTTTTTACACACAATTTACATAAAATTGAAAAGAAGTTACATCATTCACAATCAGATGAACAATGTCATGTGGACTTGCTTACAATCACAGACCAAGGCAGAGGATTTATGTATTATTATACACAGGTTACATAAAATTAATAAAGTTAATCTAGTATTAGTTTCAGTGACATGCAACACTATATCACAAAAAAAATCAATGAGAAACTAAGGCATAACAAACATATTGAGGTATGCAACACTATATTACCAAAAATTGTAGTTACATCGACAAATTCCTTATTATGCTCGATGACATATGAGCATTCGCACTTTGCTTATTCAAATTGAGATCACAATAAGACATAAATCACACTATTCAATACTCAATCTCTTTCGTTTTTGAGAGTGACTTACATGCATGTTAAAATTTATAGCAAATTAGCACATGAATCATATTGTTACATTCTCAGAGATACATTTTGAACTTCAAAAAGCAAAGTACATAGTTCGTTCGGATGAAATACCTTGCAACTGTTTTGCCTTTAGACCTCGTCATTTTCTCGATCTGCAAAACGTTCTTCTTCGTTCGGATTCTTACTTTTCCTTCTTCAGAATGCACTTCGAATGGTGGAACTCTGTCTGACGGAACTTGATGGAAGCGTGAAGTCAGAAAGTTTTTCGAGAAATGTAAATAGCCAATGTCAAAAGACGCAGCTATGGGAAGAAAGACGCGCCGATTTCGAGAAGGCCGTTGTGCGCGTTTTTTTAATAGAACGACGTCGTATTGATTCGGGTGTAGCATGCTCATAATGGGCCGGTCCTATGGTATACGAACTCAGAGAGAGATCATCAAATGATGATCATCCGTGATAACATTGCTTCTAGTTTGATGTCATAGGGATTTTATTCTTATTATTACAATTCGCCGTATTACTTTTTTAAGAATCATATTACTTCTTAATATAGGTGTAGTTAATTGATGCATTTTATTGTCATACTTTTATCTAGTTAATTTTAAAATAATTTACTCGCATATATCATGTGCGTATAAATTAGTATAGTCATAACTTCATATTAAACAAAACAAAAAAACATGCAAAATTTTTAAAATGTTCTTTTTTATCTTTTTATATATTATCCGCTACAAACAAACAACTAAATTACAAAACATCTCTCTGTAAATCCACTAATTCAATCCGCCATTCACTACATTCACTACCTGCTAACCAAATCTTCTAACCCATGAGTGCCAAACGGCCTATGTATATGAACCCATCAATTCTCCAACAAAAAAACATAATTTCCTTAATTTTCTCTCTTTTCCCTACGGCAATCTCCGAGTTCCAACGGAGCCTTAATCACAAGGGAAAAAAATTAAAACACGGAGTCCGTACACTTGCCATTTGTTATTGCTCATCATTAAAGGCCGTACCAGTCGACAACGAATAAGAGCTGAGACACTGGGCTGAGAGAGCAGAGTGGCGAAAGAGCGGAGGAGCTGATAAAACGGAAGGCGGAGAAGTGGAGTTGGTCTACAGCAGCTGAAGAATGAGCCCAAACCCTAGAGGAGAAGCAGTTGAAGAAGAAGACACAGCCCATGGGAAATTGTGGTACTAGAGAGGAATCCGCTGTCGTCTCCACTGCTCACCGTCAAGGTTCCTCCTCCTCTTCCTCCCAGTCTTTTATTGCATAATTTTAATGGAACTCTTATGCTGTTTCGATTTAGTCTAGAGTTTTATGAAACACAGGGCTATAATTTACTATTGATATCTTTCAGATCTATTAAACCCACATGTTGTTTTCTACTCGCATCCCTTAGATATTTTTTTATTTTATTTGACCAACCCCATTTCTTTCGATTTTTGGATGGTGGCAGTGCATATGTCATTTTCAAGAATTTCTTTTTGGCGATTGGTCAACTATTTTATTATTGTTATTAATATTTTGGTACTGGGATGACATATTAATATATTGTAGTATGCGGCGATTGAGTAATAATAATCCAGGGTTGTTAATGTTTACATATGTATATGCATGTATCCAGTATCCATATTAAGTAATTACCCAAAGTAAGAATAAAAATGACTCATGTGTAATTGTGTACAAAGAGTAGTATATTTTTGGGCCTAAAATATGACCTATTTAGTCTATAAAAAGTAGTTAACATTTAAATGAATGAGTTATATTATAAGCAAACAAAGATAGTCCCAGAAATGTTTTCTTATTTGTTTTTTTATAAGAAAAGTATATCAGCTTATATATAATATTTGATTCTTGAACCGTGGGTGTATATAGTTGAGCAGCAGTTTCAGGGTTTATCAGCTGGAAGCAGGAATGGTGGTGCTGAGAAGAAGCACATGAATGGCCGTTCCACATCAGATCTGAGTGACCCTTCAACTCCATGCAACTTGGATGATTTTAGAAAGAATGTTGTGCTATATACTCATGTCATTGCCTTCACCCTATTTGAGTTAGAGACCATTACCAAAAGTTTCCGATCTGATTACATTCTTGGTGAGGGTGGGTTTGGAACAGTGTATAAAGGATATATTGATGAGAATGTCAGGGTGGGCCTCAAATCCCTCCCTGTAGCGGTCAAAGTTCTCAACAAGGAGGGCCTTCAAGGTCACCGTGAATGGCTCACTGAGGTGAACTTTCTAGGCCAACTTAGACATCCCAATCTCGTCAAGCTGATAGGATATTGCTGTGAGGATGATCACCGGCTACTTGTATATGAGTTCATGTTCAGAGGAAGCCTTGAGAATCATCTGTTCCGAAGTATGGGCCCTCTTTTCTCTTCTCAAATTCCCTATTCCTTTCTAAAATTTTCATTGCCAATGCTATGTGGTATTATTTATCAACAGTTGATAGTCACTATCTCTGTTCACTTTTAGTTGCTCCTCTTTCCTTTTTTATGGAAGTTCATTACAACCTCCTTTCCTGAATTAGCTCTAGTTTTGACTATAGATAGGTTTTTAACAAAGTAGAAACTGTCCGGTTAACATTTATGTAGACAGAGATTATCAATGAATGATTCGTTTCCTTAAAAGGAAATAGTGTATAAATTATGGACGGAAGGAAAAGGATAGAAAGAAGACAAATATCAGACATATGGAGAATTATTATGTGCTCTGTGTTTCATTTTTTGCAACTACCATAATATCAAAACACAAACATTTCCATACTTTTTTATATTCTCTTTTACACCTTTTCTACTTTTCCATCTACTTAATCCAATTTCCTCTACTTTTCTTACTTTATTCAACTACCCTGGTAATCTTACATTCTCACTCTTAGATTCTTTGAAAACACTATAGGTGCGACTAAATGTGAACAGAGGGAATCCTATACTTTTAATAATTTTTCTTTCTCCTAAAAAGTAATGTGCTGAAGTTTATTGTTTATATGCTCTGTGGTTTTACTGGTATAGCCTATGGTTATGGATCTTGAGACTTGAATCTAGCTTATGCTCTTGCTTTTACAACTTATTCCATTTTACTGAAGCATTATTTTTGATAACTAAAGTTAGTTTGCTATTTTTTGAGGCATTCAGAGGTAAATGTTCCGTTATCTTGGTCAAAGAGGATGATGATTGCTCTTGGAGCAGCAAAGGGGCTAGCCTTTCTTCATAACGCAGAAAGGCCTGTTATATATCGTGATTTCAAGACATCAAATATTTTATTGGATTCTGTACGCTGGCACTTTCCATCAAGACCGTCTTTCAATTTCTCACCATGTTAGTGCTGCATTTGTGAAAATATTATAAATGGTTACTTTTTTTACTGTAGGACTACACTGCCAAACTTTCTGATTTTGGTCTTGCAAAAGCCGGGCCACAAGGTGATGAGACTCATGTATCAACTCGAATAATGGGTACATATGGATATGCAGCCCCTGAATATGTGATGACGGGTATGGCCTATACTTTCAATTTACCAATAATAGATGTCTATTGAATGGAAATATGGATGCAGTATATCTTTATTTAGTGCATCTTACTTTTTGCCATAGAAAATTCACTAAGTCCTATATTAAGAGGAAAGTGGGCTTATTGTCAATTCAAGATGCAAGAGATGGGTGCTAATGTTTTCAACTTTTTTATGAAATTTGCTTAGAATATAGACCCTGAAAGCTATAAAACTCCGTCTTATAGTGATAGTGTGAATAATAACCAACATCGACACACACACACATGCAACAAAGTGGATAACGTAGAAAACCATGTGGCAATCTATGTCAAAAATAACCATGAGTGTTTTAGGGGATAAAATAGCACACTCTAACTAGCTACCATGTACTATATAAGTGGCTACTTGGAATACCAAAACTAACTACCCGATAAGTTTTGCTTCAATTATTTCTTAA